TGTGGCTCGACCTGACAAGTCGGTCTTTTTTAGTTTTCGTTTCATGCGAAAAGTTAATGTTATCAACACTACAAATGGGTATCTTATAATTCACAGGCGATAAAGTTTATAAAATAGAAACACTGGCTTTGATGTATAGCTAAAAACAATGACGATGTCAGCTTTTTAAAAGGTCTTAAAAGACGTCTGGAGGACATCTTGTAAGGAAACAGATTTACAACTTGAATTAATTTAGTCGAAGAACTCAGAARCCTTCCAATTCTAATTTACCTCCCAGTGTTATGTAATTTACCACCATCTTTTGTTMACTTTCTGATACTTTATGCAATGCGAGATCTGACAATTTATGTTCTCCTGTAATTAAAATATGTGCTGCTCACTTGCGCAAGATTGACAACCATATACAATTCAAATGGCAGCTTCAGGACTTGATTAAAAAATGTCGCAAAAGCTATAACATCTGACAATTTACTKTTATAGTGTCTAAAATGCACAATTAAAGTTTGCTTTTGGCTATTGATAGCAGATTGATTTTCAATAGCCGTGAAACACAACTTGTGCTATAATAATGAAGTGATTTTACGAGGTCCAAAGATGACTCATTTTTGGCTTTATTCCTGTCTTTTTAAAAGCCGGAATAGGTGCACAGGAACTTGAAAAGTGCTATAATAAGGAGTTAGTCACCTCTTTCACGGTCTGTTTCCCGTATGCAACATTACTATCATATATATTTATAACAAAGATTATTTGTTTTTTGACACTTTGAAATGTTGTTTGACGAACAACGAAATGTGTGTGTTTACTTGTACGTCATGATGGATTTTTTTTTTAAGTGAAAAAGTCAARATGATCGCGTTCTTGATGAAATCGTTCACTGTGTTTACCTCAAAACGATGTAATAYATTCCTTTTTTTAGCATTCAAGAGTTCTGTGACTGAGTATAGAAGACACTAAAAGTAGTTTGAGTTCGCAACTCAACTATTGGTTTCTCTTGCAATGCCATGTTGAAGTTTCAAAGTCGATTGTCCTTTTTAATTCAAGCAGTGCCATTGTTTTCTTTTTCTCTCTCTCTCTCTCTCTTTTCTTTTTAATGTGAAAGTGTTATTCGATATTTGTTATGGGAATAGTTCTAATGTTCCTCAGAACAAACGAGAAGAAAATAAAGATARGCACTTTTTTTAAATGTTTGTAGTTTCTTCATGGAAATTCACAACAACATTGAAACACTGTTTTTCTATTCTGTTAAAACTACCGACGGCCATGACTGATAAGAAAATAAAAAGACGTGATTTCATACTATGTAAAAAGTGGGAAGTCTAGATTGGCATAGATTATRATAGGATAAAAGGGGATTTACAAGAAGCCCTTGAAAAAGTTTACAAGATCAGAGGGGGGAAAATAGATAGTTGAATAGAAAATAAAAAAAGAACTCAGTTCCATGAAATGGAAAGAATTCTGATTCGAAAGTTCATTATACTGYATTTTTACAATTCGATTCCTTTCCTGCGATTGCTAACAAGATAAARATCAATACAAATGTAGCGTACTTACAAGAGGATCTGCAAACTGATAGAAAATACAACCYTCTCTCTCAACCAATGAAGACGCCACGTCCGCTTGACTAATCCCATCTTTATACAGATAACATCTTCCACCAGTATGTTTTGCACAGAACGTTATTGAAATACATCTTTGATTTTGAAGACACTTATGTGTACAGTGGAAAGCGTTAATCCCTTTTGAAGACTCCAAAACATCACCAGAGAAAAAKCTGTTACTTAGAACCCGTATTGCTCCTTTAAAAAACCGCTCGTCGTTGACCAATGCTTGTGAAATTGTATAAAATGTCAGACARTGCATTAGAAGGATTCTTATCGTGGTATAAAGTAGTCTTGTCATTGTCTATATCCTAAAGAATTGAAGAAAAAACAGCTCTTGTTCTCAAGGGAGTTGACTGTTGAGATAATAACCTTTCAGATTTTTYGGGACATTCGATGTGTTGGCCTATGAGTTATAATTCTAATATATTAATTTATGTGGGTTATTTTTGTCGTGGATTCGAAACGGCCTTATATGTTTGCTTTTAAATAGGAATTGTTTTCTCTTAAGCAAACAAGCATTGACTCACCTGTCGTGAAATCAATTAATCGCCGGAAAGTGCACAATTTCTGAAGTTTTCTTTCTTTAAACAAATATACCAAAGCAAACGATGTACCTAAAGAGCTCTTAAGCAATCAGCAAAGACGATTTGATAACCAGACGAAGTAAATCCATCTTGGCTCGAAGTGTCTTCCTTAAACTTCCTTATTTGTGTCTACCGTTGTCTTCCTCTGCTCTCTGCTGCGAGGCAACTTTCTCATACTCAAAGGGTCCTTATAGAATCAAAACGTACTGATAGTGATACAATACGGATAACTAAAATACAATTACGAGTCAGAATCAAAATGAACGGGATGAGATTATTTGCGATTCGGTGGTGACTTACACGGTTCCATCAGGTCGCCTCCAAATTATTCTTATAATGAAAAAGGTATAGAGAAAAAACTTCTTTAGAATTATTTAATTGTACATGTTAATGTTTGCTTACCAATAATTGTTATATTTGTCTCGGTTCGGTGGTATAATCGTTGCTTTACAAATAAAGCAGTAATTGTTTTGAATCACGTAGAATTGTTCACAAGCATGCATTATACACTTATATTTGCTGCGCACATTTTTACACTTTAGAAAATTCGGACTTCAAAAATTTTAAGGTCTACTCCTATGTTTTTGTACGAAAATGCCCAATGGTTATTATTTGAATAAACCTATCTTTGTCGGGATATTAATGACCGAGTAACGGTTTGTGGGAAATATTTTGATTTCCAAGACCGGGATGATCTCTCCTGATGATAATCAATGCCGCCACCGACTTTTCAAATTGATGGTTTTTCCTAAAATACCAAAACCGATTGGAAACAAAAGAAATGGTTGTGGTAGGTCTGTAAATCTCAAGATTTTGGGAATCTATTTTATGTTTTCTTTTTCATTGAATTAACACTATTATCCTTTTGTATTAACCTCTTGTTCTTTTGTATTTAACCATTGTTCTTTTGTATTAACTCTATTGTTCTTTTGTATTAAGTCATTGTTCGTTATTATTTAATCCATTGTTCTTTTGTATTTACCCAATGTTCTTTTGTATTAACTCATTGTTCGCTTTTATTTTACCCATTGTTCTTTTGTATTAACTCATTGTTCGCTTTTATTTTACCCATTGTTCTTTTGTATTAATCCATTATTGTATTAACCCATTGTTCTTTTGTATTTACCCATTGTTCGTTTTTATTTAACCTATTGTTCTTTTGTATTAACTCTATTGTTCTTTTGGACAAAGATTTCTCGAGTGTAGATACCACCCATACCAAACTTTACAAGTCCTGGTTATTATCCTCTTCAAAGATAGAAATAACAACCTTATAATTTTTACAATAAGTTTTATTTGGTTATTATACTTGTAAGGAGAATAACTTGTACACAGTACTCAACATTATGCTTTAACCACCTTGAACAAAACAACACGGGGTTGCTTTTGTGTTATTGATTCGTGAAAAACAAGATCCATCTTGTGGCACAGTATGCATAAATTTCGTTTAGAGTGCGTGAATTTGATTTGGACAAACTTTGTTCGTATGTGGTGAAATCGAGTGAGACCTCATCACAGCAGGCCCGTAGGCGGGGGAATTCTGTGCGTTCGGACGGACCCCCCACAAGCTTTTAAGCTTTTAAAAAAGGTCCAGTGTTTCTCTTTTTTTATTGTTCTATTTTAAAATTCTTTTGTTCTGAACTGCTCATTCTAGCAGTCAGTTCTTACACACTATACGTGTGAATGGAACTAACTTAGTTAAGTTAGTTAAGTTAATTTAATTTAGGTCCGCATTATGAAAAAACGTCCCCCCTCCCCCTCCCCCCCCCGGCCATTTGTAAGGCAGCCTACGGGCCTGCACAGGTAGCTCAACCATTGTTGAGTGACCTGATGTRACAGGATTTTCGCCGTTCAACGGCGTTTCTTCAATATGACCTTGCTCCATTTYACCACCTACATTTCAGCTATTCGTTTGTGTCACTTTGCCTAAGGCTTTATTTGTTTTTAGACAAACTACACGTACGATAACAGCTTTACTGTAGCATATCCATCCCCATYATTATAACCTGGTATAACTACACCACCATGCGGTGCTAACGAGCAACCCCCTTCGGCAAAAGCATTCTTTGTARCGTTTATTATTGTAACAGAACCACCTGAGTAACCTCCACCCCCTCCTCCGGCATTATCACTYGCTCCTCCCCCGCCAAAACCACCGTTGCAATCCGGTGTTGCGCGTAATTCTGCAATGCCACCCTCTCCACCATCCACAAACGCTTTCCCACCATACTTGCAAATTATGGTGGTGCAATCGCCGCTGTTATAGCAAGTACCACTTCCGCGAAARCCACCTCCASCTCCAGCGAAGGTAGCGATTCCATGTGCGCAGACTTCACCGCCGGTACCTGGATTTTTACCGCATTCGTCTCGACCATCTCCGCCATTTGAAAAATACCCCCCACCACCCCCTCCCCCAGCAATAGCTATTGGAGCGTTTCTTCGGATTAAGAACGTTCCCCCACCACCACTACCATAGGTTTTATTGCTTTTAGTCCCACCCTTTTGACCGACGATGATTTCAAGTTCTTCGCCTTTTTGGAGTTGAATTGTGCCATTTATGAGAGCGCCTTTTCCTCCTTGGCTTCCGCCGTAGCCAGTCCCACCAGCCGCCCCACAAGCTGTCACATGGTATTTTCCCGAAATTGGTACCGCCCAYGTTTGAACGCCGTTGACAATTGAAGTGTTTTCCAGGACTGTTCCCTTGTAGCGTTTATTATTGGTTGGACCACTTCGACCATGAAATCCAAGGGTTGTGAAATTAAACACAGCATTGGAATCTAAAGAAATAGTTATAAAAAATGTCAATAGTGCTGCAAAGGAAGCTTTAGTATGTTAATGACTTAATNACTTAATTTTTAATGATAATAATATGATATATGCAAATGACGTTGTTGTTGTCTTTACGTCTTGAAGGGATTGACAGTATATACCTAATTGAAAAAACGTAGTCGTGTTCGAAAAGGTCACATCATAGAAGCTAAGACCGAAAGGGATTTTGAGTACCACTAAATTGGGATTACATTTGCATATACGGTGTACATACACTAAGCAAGTAGAGCTAGTAAGATGAACAGCATGATAGTCTTTTATGCTGGAGACCTGTTTGTTATGAATTAGCCAAATTGTTTGTCTTCCCAAGTACCCTTTCGGTCTTAGCTTTCCATGATTTTGACCTTTTTGGACCCGACAATGTTTCCTCAATTAGGTGTATATGAATTAGTAATGATGACTTGCTTCGCCCTCTCAAGGCTCGACCCTGCACACCAAATACTGATTTCTTTCTTACGTCAAATTTATTGAATAGTTTTATACCTTTTGAAATAAAACATCTCGAAGCAATAAAAACGGTAAAGAATCTCAACATTCTTGCGGATGTGGATGACTCGGTCTAAACTAGTTGCAGCCTCATAATCAATAAAAGCTATATTCCAACTTGAAATATGCGATACCAGGTATTAATTCTGCATTTGGCATAGATAAATCCAACACGCACTAAATATGATTTTTAGTCGCTAACAAATGCAGTGGAACCTGCCTTAGGCGGACACTCCGTCGTAACGGCAAGATTTTTATGTCACGGCGAACAAACTTGCATACTTTTCTAGCTGGATAATATTTCCATACCCATCTGGTGGCCGGATTAACGAGGTTCTACTGTAACTGCTTACCTGGACAACCCTAATGTAGCACCTTAACATGTTTTTCGTACAGTATTAAAAAAAGTAAGACAATAAACTCACACTGGACTTGTTGACATCTGTCACCTGTCCACAGTAATGGACACGAACATCGGTAATGGTTGATGTTATTGTCATAGATGCACGATCCACCATTAGTACATGTCACAAACCGACAGTCATCCTGGGTAAAATAAAATCATCCATTTTAAGGCCATGTCACACTGGCGTTTTTTTTCGTGCAACTTGTGTCGCGCAAAAAATTGTTGAAGTTGCACGAGCGTTTTTTTTACGTGTGACACCCCCTCATGCAACTTGAACATTTCATTTTTTTGTTGAGAGAAAAGTAGAACTGGCTTCTACTTTTTTCAACATTTTTCGGAAAAACGCGTGTGTGACATGGTCTCTTGCAACTTCCAAATTTTTCAATTAGGCGCATGAAACCAAAATAAAGCGAGAATCTGTCCTGTTGTCACTTGTTGTAATAATCAACAAAGATGCCCGACGCCATCTTTGGCGAAAGCGATAATTTTGAAGAAGAAAACGAGACAGAAAGTGAGATGATTGCAACTTGCATTTTTTTTGTGCTAGCTAAGTTGCAACGGAATTTTGCTAGTGTGACATGGCATCGTSCAACTTCAACATTTTTTTGCGCGACACAAGTTGCACGAAAAAAACGCCAGTGTGACACGGCCGATTGCGGTAAATTCTAAGCAACATTTTGTATGTCCTTTTTGTCCGACCTGCTCCCAGTCTGGCCTTGTAGCTCAGCTGGTAGAGCGTCGGTAGTACAAATCCGAAGGTCTTCATTTTTCTTATACAAATTGGAAGCCATTTTGTTTATTTTTGCACGTTACAACGCATGCGCGTCGCCATCTTGACCCAAATTTCTGGCAATGGTGGGTTCGAATCCCAGCGAGGTCGGAAATTAATTTTTCCGAATTTATTCCTAAGGGACTTTATCACAGAATTGTCTCCTTCTAAGCACTATAACATTCTTTCATTTCTATTTCGTGAAATCTGATTGGTTGACTTTTGTAGTTTTCCATTTTGATTGGCTGACAAAAAGATGCGATTCAAACTCAAATTGTGCGATTCACATACAAATTKCACTAATTTGAACCAATCAGACGACAAGATTTGCATGTCTAAAACTTGTTCAAATTCACGGTAAGATTGGAGGGTTAGTCGATTGTCTTCCTTGGTGAGTAAAAAGTTATGAGTAGATAACAAAATGTCACATGTCCTRTTTTCGGATATTCCAATTCAATCAACTATCAAGAAGTATAGTAGTTACTCTTTTTTTGTTATTCAGAATTTTAACATTCAAAATTATTATTTCGCAGTGAATTTTCATTTTTAAGGCTAGGGTTTTTYCTATGCAATTGTAAATCTTCATTGACCTGAAGAATTCTGAAAAGCCTGCTTTAAGATTAAAAATTAAAAATTACCATCATTCATAAATTAAAACAAAATCATCAGCCATCCAGTATTACAAAAAGTTTTTTTTATTTGTCAAAATTGTAACTTTCACAWTTATTGTTGCAAAATTAATTTCATTCAAAGTATTTTTGATGTATTTTTTATCTGACCTTTTCAATGTTTGAGTGACCTGAAAAATTGTATAAAAGCCGGATAAGTACTATCATTYATAAATTAAACCCATGTTCAATGATTGCGTGAAAACAGTACATGCTATTTAATCGACTGGTTCCATCTCGTYTTCATCCTCCAATGAATCGATTCCATGGTCYCTTTCAACATTCACTGCGAAAGGAATACCAAGTTCAGGTATTCTATGTATATAGAATCCCTTGGCGAAGTCGAAAACCCAGCCAAGTTCTTTTTTCGCTTCGTCCAGCTCCTCTYGTGTTCTGTTGGTCGTGAATAGGAATATGCTGAGCGCTTCCATAGTTTGCTCAAGATCTTTCAAAGTTTTAACGTTCTTTAGAATGCTTGGGACGTATAACCCAGGCACTAGAAATGAATGGATAAAAGAATAAATGAAAAAATGAATGAAGGAAAGGAGTCAAGATGATAAGRAAGAAAGGAGGCAATAATCATCCTCCACATACATACTTGGCTGGTTTGTTGAATGGCTGCCACTYGCTGTCTCAGTAACCAATGGATGAAGAGCCTCATTTTCTTGTCCTTGTCTCTCTTCTTGAGGATTTATCACTGTTTCGTCTACGTTTTCTTCTGCTYCGCCATTTTGTWTTTCTTCTAATTTCATTTCTTCTTTTTCTTCATCATTTTCATATTCTTTGCCTAATTTGTTGGCGACCTTTTTCGTGTCAGCAGGGAAGCTATTGTTGTCTTTCTGTTGAAGACTTTTGCTGCCRCTAGACTCAATKTYGTCCGGTGTCTTAGCACTTTSGTCAGAAGCCTTGACACTCTCATCTTGAAAAACAGCCTGCACATSTTGTTGTTCAAGATCGTTTTGTTTAYTAATCCTCTCAACCTGTMTGTCACTTTCTSCTTGGGAAGATTTGCAACAATTAATGTTACTGGCRTCACCTTGTTGAGCCTTGTCGRGATTCTCATCSTGAGAAGTCTGCTGGATATGTTTAGTTTGATCRTYGGYGATTTGAGTCTCACCAATYTTCTCTTGTGTAGTTTCTTCACAAACCTTCATAGTTGGGAGAGAGGTTGATCGAAGGCAGTGATTCGTTTTAAGCACACAACTTGCCTGCTTTGGATCAATTATTGCCTTACGTCGGGCAATCTCGGTAAGACGCTCTTCTCTCTTTTCAGGTGAAATATCGAACTTTCCAAAAGTTCCATTAACAGGAAACTTTTCTTCGCTGCTGAAATAAAACTTATAGCTAAAGTAGCCAACGGTGGCTATGCCGCTAATTACGGCTCCTCCAATCAAAACCGTCTTCAAGGACGGSATATCAAAAGAAGAAAACATTTGTTTGCTCTTTGAAGTCAATCAATTAAAAGTGAATTATCCTTTTACGTAATAAGGTAATTGTTACGTCACATACTAATTAAATAATTAGGTTAATTCGATTGAGACGCCATTTTCCACGGCCCAGTCTCTTTCAATCTTTTTTAGTCGATAAAAAATGCAAAGTAGGGGAGACGGAATCCCGTGTTGGTAAAAATCAATTAATGAAGCTGTAATAGAGGCAGTATACAACAAAGGTACTATTAGAGGTTCTTACATTTTGGCTAAACATTTTGGTTCTTCTTTAGGAAAAACAGTGCACTGAATTAATTAAAGGCCGAGAAATACGGGATGTTAAAGCTTAAGAGTCGATGTATTTCTATTTCGCACCTTACCTTAATACTTGGAAACTTGTCATGTAACAGGTCATCAAGAAACATTGAAGCGAAACGAAAACAATGTAAAGATAATAAATCAGCGCGCGCGCGTAACGCGTAATGTTCACGAGCGCAAATGAGAGCGACTTAAATTGTACTTGTAGTACGCTATTTGTCAAGAAAATACTTTAATCCTATATCGGTCCACTGCGATGAAATCACAAAGATTGAAAAGTTACAATCGTTGCCAAAAAACCTTGTACCATCGAATTATTTGTCTCCAGCCTAACATTTTTTTCGTTTATTTTTCGCAATTYTCCCTCTTTTGCCCCTTAGCCGCCTTTCATCAATGTTGGGTCTTGTTTTGGTTGGTTATGTACTATGGTAACATGATCAATGACAACATTGCATTTAGGGGGTCAGGGGGATGAAATTCTCTGGAATTTTCTGGAAATTCGCTGTAATAGTCCATATCACAAGTCCGCCATTTTGAATGGTTTTGCAATGTATCATGGGATATATATCTCCCTTTCTTCATCAAAACAAACTGCTAAAATCGTAAAAAACACTAATTAGTTTCGATTTTTCCACAGACAAAATATGTTTGTTTTCATTTTTGCTTGATTTGCCTAGTAAATGGAAATTCTTGATTAACTGTACATTTTTTCGAGGTTTTTCCTGCTGTATTTCCTTGCATGTTGATATTTGTTTGTTTTTTCACTTATGAGATTAACTACAATATTAATATTTCCCAATGTTTTTCGAAAACTGAGTCTACGTTACAGACAACTGGAGCACTGACAACGTTGTTCACTTGTTTACTCATTTATCAATCCCAAAATGCACTGCGTCACAAGGCTTTCCGCGGGTTGCGATATGGACTATGGTCCAAGGATTTTGTTAACGATTGTTGTGATTTAAGTAAACGTAAGGTCCATGTCGCTTTTAGAATCATACAAAACCAACAGCAACATTTACAGAATTCTTCGCGATCTTCGCAAATTATATTTTATGTCTGTAAAGTGCTGTTTTAGGAGAAACGATTTAACAAACATTCAATTAATCTTCTGCTGTGTCGTCTGACTTAATTTACCTCCATGTTATGCGAGAAAACCCAATCCTTGTCRAACACCAAGCCTCTGTGGAGCTCTGACAGCGATACGTCTACAAACTCACAAACAGCACTGTCATGTTGGCTGTTTCCTTCATTACGAAAGTTCGTGGCCTTACAGCGTGGGTTTCTCAAACATGCATGTCCACATGAAAGCAGAGTTTGATAATCGCTTGACTTGTGAAACACACCGTTCGTATTTCTGTACTTTTCTTTGACGCTGAAGATCGCTGAGCTAGTGCTGCCTTCAGTGATCTCTACTATGGCAGCGTATACTCCCAAACATACAAAAAATAGCATTTTTTTTCTTCAACTGCTTTCACCAAGAGAGAGACAATACAATGTGACCAGATTCATGGATTTCTAGCCGTAAAATATAGTCAGATAGATGATACCCTTCTTGTAAATTAAAAGCTATTAATTGCTTCCTTTGTAAGAAGCCTTCAAGAATCTAATAATTATCGATCAAATCTTTTTCTGCTTCCTTGARATGTCTAAATGATTTCCCGTTTTCTGCTTTAATGTCAGCGTGCGCCAGTGCGACGAAATCTTGTGATCTGATAAACAGCAATAATGGATCGCTGTAGGAAAAGAGTTTAAGATTATTTGTCTATTAATGAAAATAATCACGGCTGTTCGTTTGATACGTTTTTTTGGCGTTAAAATGAGATGCTGTTTTTAGATGTTTTATCTACCTTACCAGAGACAAGTCAGATAACAAATCAGTCAGCGTTTCTTTAATTTGCCTGTGTATTTGAATTGAATTCGAAATATTGTCGTAAAACKTCTTGCTTGTTGTTCTTGGTCCAAAGCAAATGCTTTCCAAGTGCCTGTTGTGAAATTAGTTGGCTTGGTTTTTTTAATATTTCCATTATTTTGCATSACTTCTAGGAACATCAAAGCGCACTATTACTACCCAGTCACCTYCCTGTCAAGTTTGTTTATAACGTATACTATAGAGCTACTGTCGTGCGTGAAAAATTGCCACTGTTATGCCGTTTTTTGCTGTTGTTTTTCTTTTACTTTATTTATTTATTTATTTATTTTTTTGCATTTTAAGCTGAAGCAGTTTAATACCCAACTTCAATCTAATTTTTGAAGTCGGAAAATATCGCCCCAAAAAGCTTAGTGGTTGTTTGTCTTGRCACGAAGTCAAGTGAAGAACGAAAATACTACTCTGAAGACTTTGTCAAAATGTGGAATAATTTATGTTCACTTTATTTGATATCAATATGTCCCTGCCATATGTCCCTGCCAATTTGTGGTTTTCACTGATATAACGTCATTGCTCTTTCAAAATCTCAATTTTCAATCCTGAAATATTTTAATGTTCTTAATTAATGTRTGTTAAACCACCACAGAATCGCAGAACAGTTTCGACTAAGATTTTATACAAAAGCCAAAGAACTCTACAAAATGTTTGTGAACCCCCACTAAAACTCCCCTAACCAAAGTGGAAATTCCCACAAAGAAGCACATGCTGGTTAAGATGAGAACCAACTTTGAAACAGGGATGGGGGATGGGGGATAATATCGCAGCTAGATGTTCGAATACAGCTATTTCAAAAAACGTTGTCGGGGAGAACGGCGATTGGGAGATTGCACGACCGAAAGGGACTATGGTTACACTGTTTTGATAAACAAAAATTCACCTATTGGATTCACCTTGCATAGAAATGGTGACTAAATGGAGCCCCTAGTGTTTACGACAGACCATCTTACAATACAAATCAGTTGTTACTGCCTTTCAACTAGCAAAACCATGGCTACTTTCGGTCGTGCAATCGCCGTTCGAACATTGACATTCGCCATTGTATCCGACAACCTTTTTTGAAATAGCTATATCTTTTTGTCGAAAGCTGTAGGTATTGATTTTTTTTAGCATTTTTGGCATTTAATATAACCGGTACCTAAGTAAATTCTAAGAGTGCTGGTGAATGGTGTATTTATACATGTTTAAGAACGCCAAGTGATACATCGTAATAGATACTAGACTATTACTGCAAGACTCCAAAACAACTACACCTATTTCAAAAAAACGTCCGCACCACGACGATGAAAGATCTTATTACGAACACTCAAAAGAGCTTAAATTCAATGATGATTAATTAACTAAGAAAGCATTCATTATTCATCAGTGGTGAGTTCATGAAAAAAAAAGATAGTAATGACGTAGAAACTGAATTGGGCCACTGATTGGGATAAAAAAAATTTTTAGTTTATGGCTTCCTTCGGAACTTCCTTCAGCTTCCTTAAAAAAAACTTAGCCATATATGGAGGATACAATGTCGTTTTGCTATAAAATAAAAAAAATTCAGACTATTTGAAACTTTAAAGTTTGAGAAAATCATCCACAAAAAAAAACGATATGAATTAATACTAATTATTAGTAAGGCTGCTAAACGAAAAAAAAAAAAACTATTTGCATTTATTAAGATACTCGCATAGCAAACCAGTTAAAAAAAAAAGGGCTGTTCCTGAATTAAAAATATATATCATATAATCGTCTAAAAAAAACCTATATTTCTCTACGTGTGGACGATTTTCTCAAACTCTAATGCTTCAAATAGTCTGAAACATACATCTTTTTGCTTTTATTAGCTCTCAAAATAAAAAAAAAAAAGACGTTTCGGGGTCATCGTGACTCCATTATCAAGTGATAAAAAAAAATGATAATTACAAATATATATAGGAACAAGATTAGCATAATGTAAAAAAAAAAAAAACAATTGTTAAATAAACAATGTCATAATTCATTTTAGTTTGGCTTTTATCGAGTCACTTTGAACATTGAGAGTAGGTTTTAAGTCTCTCATGTAAAACATTTCATAAACCAAACAGTCAAATTTTGAATTACATTTCTTCAAAACTTTAAAATATTTACAGATGTCGACTGGTATGAAAGGTGGTCTTTAATGAAGTGTTTTCCAATGCTTGAGCTTTTTAGCTTGTGTTCATTACAGCGTTCAAAAAAAAGTCTAAGGGTATAACACTTTGTTGCTTAAGTACGAAAAAGACAAAAAAAAAAATCGATCTTAGCACAATAGCTATGATGATCTGTTGGCCTCAGAAAAAAAAGTTGGCGGTTAACATTCACGGCAAGAATCAGATTACACAACCAAAAAAAAACGATTTTGTACCATTTTGAAATGCCTATATCTCAGAAACTATTGGTGGGTCGGGGTGGGCCGCCGGCTTTAAATCGGAGTTTATTCTTTCATCTTTCTATACATGTGATAATCTGTCATTAAATCTTTAAAAACATATAAGTTCTAAAAAAAAAAACATTCCTACTTGAAAGCGATCTTCGAGCTAATAGCGCGTATTACACTTCGTGATTCAAAGGTTTTGGTCGATATTTTCCTTCTCTGGTYGCAAAAAAAAAATATTTTCAACCTATGTTTATGTACTTTGAGCTCCAAGAGTTTCAAGAAAAAATTCTATCGAATAGTATCAAAAATCGCCTGTTTTGTGGTCTAAAAAAAACCTTTTTCTGTGTAGAAATCTCATGCCGCGCAAAGTTGAAAGCGGACTCGTGATTGGCTGGTTTCTGTACCATAATCCTTTTCGGAGGAGTGTCAAAAAAAATTTGCCACTGATGAATAATGAATGCTTACTTAGTTAATTAATAAAAAAAAAATTTAAGCTCTTTTGAATGTTCGTGATAAGATCCTTCATCGTTAAAAAAAAAACTTTTTTTTATGTGATGCCATAGCAACGGCAAAACAATATTAAAAAAAAGTGATGGTCATGGAGYYCAAGGGTTCGATTCCCGTTSAWRTCCAAAAAAAATAGGGCTTTTAACAATTGCATAGATTGTCAGTTCAAATTTTACAAAAAAAAATATAATTTACCTAAACGKTGTGAATAATACTATCAASGCTTCAAAAAAAAAAAACAATCGATGCAGTGAAGGATGTTACTGCAAGGTGTGCAAAAAAAAAAGTCTATTTTTTCTGTCAGCAGCTCACAGCTGTCGAAATTGCCAAAAAAAAATTCAAAAAGATGACAATAGACCACTTTTTTGGTCTTCTTTGTTAAAAAAAAAAAAAAAAATATCTACTTGAAGAGGCTCTTTGAAGCTTAAACCAAAAAAAACATTTTGCAAGCCACAATCCCGAACCAAACAAGATATTCGTGTAAAAAAAAGCAAGGGTTGCCATAGGGCCATTAATTGATTAATAAAGACAAAAAAAAAAATAAGAAATTTCTAGAAAAAACTGGTATAAAAATGCGAAAAGCTAAAAAAAATGAATATTTTTTTTCGTATATATTTTTCATCATCAATTATTTAAAAAAAAATTTTTTTCTTCTAATTTTATAGTACTCTATACTGTTTTAAAATAAAAAAAATTTGCTTATCGAATCGTGACAAAAAAGCGAACAATAAAAAATTAAAAAAAATCATATAGTCAAAAACGAATGGAATAATGAGTGAAAAGAGGAAAAAAAAAAATTAGCATTGTCACGGCTCCCTGATGCTCTGCTCACAGCTAAAAAAAAAAACACAACACTTCTCTTATTTGCTTGAGGCATTTCGTGTTTGTTTAAAAAAAACGTCACGATAGCAACCTGTGGCTCCTGTGGCGGAAACATAATTAAAAAAAAACCATTTTCAATTTATCATGCTGATGCTTATTGAAAAACAAATAAAAAAAAATTGCGAATTGTTCTTTTCCTATAGAAAACCCACGTATGGAGTAAAAAAAATGTATTCGAACACCAAAGTCTTATATATCGATTAATTTTAAGTAAAAAAAAACTTAAATTCTCAAAATATCTTCATTTGTGGTGAACGACAGCTAAAAAAAAGGCACATGGGTACAAACAACAGCCAATTTTTCCTATGTTACCAAAAAAAAAGAAATTCATATACCTTAATATAAATGCCGTGTCCATTTATTCAAAAAAAAATCGATGCCTTGTTATTTACATAATTTTAATCATTGTTCAAACGAAAAAAAATAAAATTGAGTCTTGCTTACCTTGTTTATATTAAATGAATTTGAAAAAAAATAAAAAGAATTTAATAACAACACAAAGCTTTTGTTTGCATACGAACAGCCGTCTCTTTTTTCATTTCAGTGTCAACAGTGAAAGACAAGAAATGAAAAAAAATCAAGTATAAGTAAATAATAATGTTGTTAATTGTCATATTAAGCAGTCAATTTCCTTTTTATTTTTACATAATATCATTCGGGAATGATTTTTCAAAAAAAAATCGATAAAAGAAGATCATTTTTTTTTTAGTTTCTAAAGCTCGAAAAAAAATCAGTTTATCATATTCTTAATTCCCATCTGCTGTTGACTGAGTAAAAAAAACATTTACTCTCCCTATTATCATTGACGCCTCAAAACAAAATACTTATGGCTCAAAAGTGTTTTTGGCAAGTTGTCTTTCCCTTTATAACTTCCCTATAGCAACCAACACTTGATAACGAGCTGGCTATTATCGACTATTAATCGTAAAAAAAATTGTAATAGATCCATATACTTATGATTGACCTCTTTGGGAATGATATGAGGAGTATTTAGGCTCGTAGTAGATCTTCAGCACAACCTTAAAACAAAAAAAAAAAGATATCAAAGTATATCGTCATGGCTGCGACAAAACATTTACAACATACTAGATTGAATATAAAGGAAAACAGCGGGATGTTTTACGTCTAGTTTGCATTTTAAGTTTTGTTTCGGTCTCTGACGGTAACAGTTGATACCTGATTGGCTCACTCAGTTAAACTAATGAATAATTATTAAGATATTTCGTTCACACAAAAAAAAGCACCCACGAGAAGCAAGAGCAACTCGTCACTGAACCAAGCGGACAGAACCTGTGATTGAGAAAGTACGGAACAGTCTAGGGTCCGTCATTTTTAAAAAAAACTGTCTTCTTTAAAGCCAAAGTTTGGTTTTGGAACTAAAAATCAAAAAAAAAACTTCAAGGGACTAAAGTAAAGGATTGATTTTTTTCTCGGTTAAAAAAAAACATGGCTACAACTAACTCCTTCCATTTGGTTTCAATCTTATTAAAAAAAATTGCTGCAGGTAAGTAGGTTTTTACTCAACCGAATGTCATTTGTCTTTCCTAAATATTTCTCTTATAAAAGGGACACGATATCTAATTTTGAAAAGATTTATTGAAACTGAATTACTGATTTGTAGCGATGTAGACTTCCTTGGATGTTTTTMTTTTTGGCCTTTTCTGACAACTTCAAGAAGTTTGAATTTCAAGAAAAAAAAATTTCAAACTCAACTTTATCTATTCCTAAAAGCGTCTTTAGGGAAAATTGTTTTGGATGAAAATGGTGTATTTTCAGGCCTTTACTCGTCAAGCCAATGCACTATCAATTGATTAAGAAAAGATTTATTTAGAGAAACAACTACAAAAAAAAAATCATAGCATTCCAAGTTATARCAGGATTTCTTTGTTAATTCCAAAAAAAATGTGCCTTTCTACATGAAGGCTTGTTCCAAGGCGTTACCATGGAAAAAAAAAGGCAAATATTATGTTGTCTTAGCAACTGGCTTGGAGTATTACGTATACATGTGTTCTCTTCTCTTCTCATCTTGGTGGAATACAAAAGACTTTAAAAAAAATATAAGTCATTATTTTGTCCCACGCCGAAACAATTGTTACAAGAAAAAAAAATCATGTGTGACTTGTTGATATTTGTATTGCAAGTTGTCTCTTAAAAAAAATAGTATATTTTTTTAACCAACCATGCCTATTCTACGTTTTTTTAAAAAAAAAGCCTCTACATCCAATATGTATTCTTCCCTTTCGTAAGAGTGTAAAAAAAAAAAAAGACAATCCTTCTCATAAGCCTCGGGGGCGATTTAGGGTAAAAAAAATTAGATCTCCGTCGCGTCTATTTATATCATACACAATTCTTTCAAAAAAAATCAAAGATTATAATAACTTGTTATTGAACAAGGTCTTGGCAGCAAAAAAAAAAAAAAAATCATAAAAACATTTTAACAAAAAAAAATCGCCAATAAAAAAAAAAATTTTCTTTTTTCAATCCATGTATTTCAGTTTCATATGGTTAAAAAAAACGCCGCGTGGACTGCATACTGGGACCAGCTTGGAGACAAAATCGTGAACAAGTACCAGAAAAATTCTATGCAGAATCCTATTTTTTTTTTCACTAACGGAACTGGTTATGATGAGGCATAAACCTATACAGTACGTAACTCGGGCAAAAAAAATTTCTCGAAATTTATCTCTGAGTTTCAAATTCAAATATCCTTGAAAAAAAATGAAATCATTAGAGTTGTATTGTCAACTACTGAAAGCTCCCATAAAAAAAAAGACTGATTAATAACTAGAACATTCTTGAACATTTATTGGATAAAAAAAAATACGTCAGTATGAATTCGTGGTTGTTGGTTAGGATGTCCAATGAAAAAAAAAGATGAATATGAAAAAAGTACTCTAACGAATTTCGTAACTATGAAAAAAAATTTCAGTTAGATTTACAAGCTCGTTGATTTCTGTATGACATTCAAAATATATAGTTCGTCAAGGCAATTGTTCTACAGMTTTWAAACTGCTGTTAAAAAAAAATTGTTGCCAGTGAATATTTTGTTTAAGATCGTGTAAAGTCGTAAAAAAAAAAACACAAAACGGCGTAAACGTACCGAWTAAAACAGAGATTTGAAAAAAAAAAGCTGATGTTTTGCCTTACTTCATTCTACTTATAAGTATATAAAAAAAAACACTAATTTCGTAAATGATTCAAAATTTAACTACTTTATCATGAAAAAAAAAACTACCCATAGATCCTTTCGGTTGTACAATTGTCGTTATTCGAAAAAAAATTTATCTGACGTTTGTTGAAATAACTATATAAACACATGTCGAAAAAAAAAAATTGTTTTCGTAACAAACGGAATGTGTATATTTATGTTGATAAAAAAAAATAAACCGCATGCATCAAACATCCCACGTTACCGGGGACAAAAATATCATGGGATTAATTTGGAATTAAGTTCTCTCCGGTCTTAAAATACAATCTCTATTTCTTGTATTTAATCTATTTTTGTCGTCTCAAGGATTAGAAGTTTTAAAAAAAAAAATTGATTGATGATCAAAGCAGAGATGGTATTTATAAGAGGAAAAAAAAAAGACAAAGCTGACCAACTTGCAGCCCGCAATTAAGACTATTCGAAAAAAAAGACCTCATACACCTCTTTAAGAAAATAAAGGAAATTTGACTCCAAAAAAAATATTTCAAACATATCAAATTGACCGGACAAATTATTTGATAAAATAGCCCATTTTTTAGAAGGCATTCTTTTTATATGTACATACATCTAAAAAAAAAAAAAATTGTAGAAAGAGGGGCTAGCGGCGATACGGATGCTATCCATTAAAAAAAATATCCAAGTCTTTGTTTGTTGAAAAAGAGATTTTCGCAAACAAAAAAAAAAGACTATTAGTGAAAACAAATCACATCACAATTTTTTGTTTGCTAAAAAAAAGACTACTGACGTGTCACAGTATTGTTCGTTTAACTAGTCAAAAAAAAAAAAGAGTTTCATCGTAAACACAGTCTGAGGGTTAATTTTGAAAATAAAAAAAAAGTACGCAGGCTAGTCAAAATTGAGAGGTAACGCACGACAAACCAAAAAAAATCTATGGTGATGACACAATGAAAGTGAAATTGCTTTAAAACTCAAAAAAAAAAATTTGACTATTAATTTAACATAGGTATTTGCCGTTGGAAAGAAAAAAAACGACTATTTGTTTTCGGAACATGCAGTTTCCGTATGCAAAGGCAAATATCACTGCAAAATGAGCGAGATTTCAACTGCTTTATTGTTTTTATTAAAAAAAAACAAATTTTTATGTGGCGGTCTCTATGCGCTGATAGTAGCCCTCACTGGACGAAGTCACCATCGTGTCACGTGATCGACTACCCACCAATGAGTAAAAAAAAAGAGAATTTGATGTTTAATTATTGTGATGGTCAAAAATAGACACAAAAAAAAATGTTATGCCTATTATYATTATTATACCTATACGGTTTTTTTTGATTGTCAAATCAAACACAAAAGGGGCAATTAGAGCGTACGAAATTTTGTGAAAAAAAAATTTAAAGGGTTTCTTAGACTTCGCTTTAATCAGATTTCTTTGAAAAAAAATGTCTAGATTTAGTCAATAAAACCGTGAAACAAAAAAAATAAAAAAAAAAATTTTAGTTTGATASAWA